ACGAGAAAAAAATTCATAAGAATTTATTAAATGCAAAACGTAAAACGAAAACATGAGTGATAATGTAAACATGTTGTATAAGGATTAAAAATTATAATACAAAAGAGGTTTTTTTTAAAAAGAAAGTATTCTGACTGTTAATAAAAGGCAATGTATAAAAATCTTGAGTCATTTCTTTACATTTAGCTTCCAGAGAGACGGGTTTTCTTGAGATGTTCTGAAGTGGTTTTTGAAGCTCTGGATTTCTGAAGGTCTTTCGGAGTTTTTCTTTGGACTTTGGTCGTGACTCCATTGACTGAACTTAATTAATGTGGGGGGGATGAATCAGGGAGGCGGGGTGAGGGTATCCACTGATGTTGATAAAATCTTATGGTCAGATCCAACAAGGGCAAGAGATGAAACTTGAACAAAACTTTATTTTTTCATTCTTTTAGCTTATTTCTCCCTCTGGTCACCTTAAATATGTTGGAAATAGCAATATTTGTTTTTACTTATGTTGCAATCTGAGCCGTTGGTTTTAAGCAGCACTTAAAATAATTTTTCTGTATCAAACAAATCATGAAGAAGTTTTGATGATATGAACAATGTGTGTTTAATGTGTAAATGAATATATATTTTTTCATTTTGTGTATAATTTGAATCTGGGGTGTGTGATGATTTTGTGAAGTCCTCTAAAGAAAAAAAAAAACACTAATTTAAACTGTGAAAATGTTGCTGTTTTCCAGTCCCACCACGTGATGGCATTGTTGCATTGTTCATTAGGTGATGCTCCACACTGAGTAGCAAAGCCTGACTTTCTTTCTCACCACTGTCTGTGGATGATTCAGGCATGAAACTCAAAAATCATAACAAACAGCTTAGAAAACTGCAGACTTTGAGAGAATCTGTGCACCTTTTACGATGTTCACCACCTGTATTTTTGTTTCAGATAAACGCTGAGTTAAAAGGACCTCAATAATCATAGAAAGTGTTTTTACCTGAATACAGAGTCAAAGTTTTGTGAACTGTGCGACAAAAACAAGCTCTGCAGAGATCCCCTGCAGCTGCCAGTGAGACAGAGACTGACCTCCATCCAGGAAACCTGGCATTAATTCTTTATGTCAGCGAGTGACCGAGTCTCTGATCGAGGCTAAGGTTGAACTCCTGCCAGTCCCAAAGGTGCAGTTTCATCTCTCACTGTGACCTCACCTTGCTGCGTAAAACTCCTCAGACTCTACGCCACAGCAGAGATCCTGCAAATATATTTGCTTTTGAGAGGTGGTGAAAGGGACAACGATGCTAAAAGGCTACATGAGCGATCAAAAACTGCCACAGCATGTGAGACAATATAGTGAAACTCTTACAACCTGAGTCCATATTAGAGCAACACAGGAAGCAACGACGAGCTGAACACAAAATGAGGCAGGAGGTTGCAGAAAACATATGTTGTTGGTAAATTAATTTGTGATAAAGCTGCTTGACTTTTACCTGGCTGTTGAACAAGATGCGCAAATACAGTCGTAAAAGTAGAAAGTAAACACACACAGAGAACATGACACTGTCCCAGTTTTGGTTTGACCAGAGTCTGAAGAGCAAGCAGCAACAGGAAGGAAAAGCAATTTTCAGGCTTCAGTGACAAAAACACTTGTCGTATTTCAACGTCACTCTTGTTTAGAGTGAATGGAGAGGTGAGATACTCTGCGTGTGTGTGTGTGTGTGTCATTTCTGCTGACATCCATTCCCTGCCTCTTCCCATTATGTGCTTTATAGAAACACATGTTGCAGTGCAATCTGTGCACCAACACGCAGTCACATCATTTCACCGCAGTAATATACGCTGCTGACAGCTGCATGACATGGATGCTGAGAGGAGGGCTCAGCATCCTAAAAGGCCAGAGAGTCTTCCTCGTGCACTGCAGTTACCACTACCTGCTGGAACTGTGTGGAAAAATCCTACTTATCAAGTAATATATAGATAATATATTAATACTTATAACTCTATTCTCTCAAGGCTCACAGAAACTTGGTGTGAAGCAAAAACCGAGCTGTTTGTGTGAACGATGTGACACATATGATACAGTCAGAGAGAAAGGAGGGGAAATTGAGTCACAGGCTTGGCTTTTTTTTAAAACTAAGTTTGTATGGAGGACAGCAGACAGGAAAACAAGCCTTGAGCAAAAAGCTGAGACCGAGGACCAGTGCCTTCATTCTGCAAGGAAATTCCAATTCAGCCCCAGAAAAACAGGCTGAACAGACAAGTAATCTGTTTAACACTTGCAACGATTTCAACAGATATTTTGTTGAAAAGCTTGAGTCAACTAGGTTTCTTACTCACTCTGGTTTTGTCCCTTGCTGTCTTCAGTCAGTTTGAGACCATTTCTCTTGCATTTTTAAAGGACATTGTTGGTCAAACCCTCAGGATCCCCTGCTATTTTTTACTTGTTTTTTTTAATTGAACCTGTATTTGTCCCTCTGTTCTTGTTATTATACATGAATAGCAGCATTGCTACCAGTGAAGTCCCTGATGTTTTTAAACATGTAGTCCATTAAAAAGCCTGGACTTGACCCTTCAGACTGTTTGAATTTTAGACCAGTTTCAAAAGGTCTCAAAGATCAAACAAAGATCTTTCTAAAATTCTGGGGGGGAAAACCCTTTTGGTTCAATTGAGTAAATTTTTGAACGGAATTAGAAATTTTAACAAATCTTTCAGTCACTAACTGAAACAGCTTTGATAAGGTTTAGTACTGATATTCTTTTAGCAAATGACTCTGGTCAGTTTGTGATCCTGGTACTCCTGGACCTTACTGCAGCTTTTGATACTGTTGACCCCAGTATCTTTTTATCACTCAGAACACTGGGCTGGGATCACAGGAGCAGCTTGGATTGGTTCCATTCCCACCTGAGTGACACAAGTTTTTTTGTTAATGTTGGAAACTTTTCTTTCACTTTGGCATTTCTTTCCTGTGGGGTCCCGCAGGGCTCGATTCTTGGATTCTTTGGCTGCTTTTCTCACTCAGGACAAGTGAGCAGGTGGAGGACAAAACCCTCTTCGGAAAGCAGTTTACTGAGATGAAATACAGTTTTACACATGACTAACTGAATTATAATTGTTTTGTAGCTTGACCTGTGCGTGTGCGCGCGCACACACACACACACACACACATATGTTGGTTCTTCTATCCTCATCGGGTCTTTGCATTGAGTGCCATTCATTTACAGGTTATTTCTGTAGCCTAACCCTGACCCCTTATCCTAAACATGACCATCCCAGTAAATACCCAACCCTAAACCTGACCTAAACTCAATATAAACCCTAACTCCTGACCCACCAGCGGAATTTCCCCCAATGGGGACCAGGCTTTTGTCCCCAGAAGGAACAGTGGGTTCTCACTGTGTGTGCCAATGGCCAAAAATCATCCCCCCATAGGTAGCAAGCACACACACACACACACACACACACACACACACACACACACACACACACACACAC